CAGGGTCTACAGGGTCTACGGGGTCTCACTATTTAGATCAGACTCGTAGTGATTGCCTGTGTTCAGCCTCCCAAGAGCTGGGATTACAAGTGCACACCACCACACCCAGGCTCAATGGCCTCCATTGCCACCATCTCAGTGTGCCTCGGGAGCAGGGCCAGCATGACATGCCACTGGGGATCAAACCCAGCCGCTGCATCTGCCTAAGCAGGCACTTTAATCCCTTGAAATATTTGGCCAGCCCTTGGGTGTCTCATATTTTAAAAAATACTATATGATACTTAAGCTTTGTGTCTGATTCTTTTCACTTAATATCATGGTCTCACAGTAGATCCATTTTCCTACGAACGACACAAGTTTATCTCTTTATGACGCAGTAGTACTCCATTGTATGTAAATGGCATATTTTCTTTATCCAGTCATCTATTGATGGGCATACGAACCTCTCCCAAGGTTTAGCTCTTTTGATTTGTGCTGCTATACGCAGCGAGGTGCATTATCACTACAATATGATGTCTTTAACTCTTTTGGGAAGATACTTGGAATTGGGACAGCTGAATTGAATGGAAGAGACTCCATGCCAATTTCCTCAGTCCTTGAGCTAACTTGTATTCTCAACAGCAATGTAGAACAGTGCCTCTCTCCCTCTGCAGTCAGCATTGACCACTATTTGAATTCTTTTTTTTTTTTTTTTTTTTTTTTTGGCAGAACCGGGGATTGAACTCAGGCCCTTACGCTTGCCAGGGAAGCGCTTATTCCACTGAACCATCTCCCCGGCCCCACTATTTGAATTCTTGAGGATAGTTATTCTTTCTGGAATAAAGACACATCATAGAGATGTTTTAACTTGTATTTCCCTAATGGCAGGAAACATTTTTCCATGTATTCATTTGTACTTCTTCCGAGAAGTGTCTATTCATTCATTTCAGCTCCCCATTTGGGGTTGGGGTCTTTATTTTAGGGGGGAAGCGAATATTTATATATTTTAGACATTAGTCCTCTGAGGAATAGCGGGAAAAGTTGTTCTCCAGTTAGTAGCTTGTCTCTTTGTTCTTTAGGTTGTTCCTTTGCTCTGCAGGAGAGTTTTCATTTGTTATGATCCCATTTTTTGATTCTTGGAGCTATTTTCTCTTCAGGAAGTACTTGTTTGGACCTCTGTCACCAAGACTTGTACCTGTACTGTCTTCCAGCAGATTGTTTTGCTGTAACATTTAGATATTTGACCCATTTTGATTTTATTGTAGTACGTAGCTTAGATAGTATTTTTTTTCTTTTGGATATCAGTGTTTATTTCTGAAAAGTTTTTCTAAATACCATTAATTTCCAGTACAGTTCTTATAATAGAAATTTATAGAAGGCCAGGGAGATGGTTCAGTGGAATAAACACTTCCCTGGCAAGCGCAAGGACCTGAGTTCAATCCCCAGTTCTGCAAAAAAAAAAAAAAAAGAAAGAAAAATTATAATAATTTTACCTTTATTGTCCTAAAGAAGACTATTTTGAGGTTTCAGAAAGTTATTTTATTGATTAATGATTTGATATGAAGATTTTTTCAAGAATATCTCTCTATTCAATTGACCAGTTTGAAATACATATTTTCCTTCTTCTTATATATCTTAGTAGACATAAATTCAGTGTAATCATGTGATTCCACATTTTGACCTTCCCATGAATTTTATAGATAAAAATATCAGATAACATGAGTTAATATCCATTTTATGCTTTTATATTCAATTAATGATTAATCACAGCTAGTTTTTGTGAGAAAATATTTACATGTGAATGCAGATATCAATTTATTAAATTTCCTTAGGTGACAATGTATTTCTGAAATTTGTTTAGGCTATACTGTTTTTTTAAAATCAGTTTATATTTATCCAAATTATATTTTTCAAATATTGGACAAAAACCTGATGGTTATATAACAAAAAAAGGTTTCAATGTTTTCCTTTTTTTCTAGCAAAAGTAATAAGTAACAAAAAAGATAAACTTTTTTCATTCATATTAATAACTGCACCTCAGGCAGAAGAGTGATCTTGTAGTCCTAGCTGGCAGAAGAAAATGTGAAACAGGGAGCATACAACTTGCTGTTTTCCTTCCATAACTTCAACATGCATTTTTGAAAAGCCTAAAACGTACTCCTCATATGAAATTCTGTCTGTCTCTTCTCTTAACCAGCAGGACTGTTGAATATCTGAAGATCAGAGTCTGAAAACAGATATATATCCTTTAAAGATGCCACAGATGTATTGCTGTGCCTTATTTTCAGAAGAGAAAAATCACAGAATGTCTACCTGTCTCAGAAAAGAATGTATGGTGATTTATATTTTCATAATAAAATACCTTCTTCTAAAGAATTCCTGACATTTTTATGTGTGTAGGACCTTGACGTGTCATTTCATAATATAGGTTTTACTAAGAGAACTAAAGTTTAATCATTTCAAATTTTGTTCTTAATATTCTAGTGTCTACAAATGCAATTTCAAAAATCATAATAATAGAAAATAAGGTAAATAATATTCAGGTCTATGTGCGAGATACTTGTAAGAGTGTCTGACTACATGGGTTTGTACAGGTATGTGCCATCTATGTTTCTAGATCGATGTGACAGAATACAGGAGAGGCAATGGTATGTTGCTTCCAAGATAAGAGAGTTTGTGTGTGTATGTGCACACATGTGTGTCTCTAGCAAACACATAATAAAAGTATAATTACTCAGGTAGTAATGTAAAGACTTGAGATACAGATTTCTATTACAGTAGAAAACTGTGTTTCTATACCACAGACTAATTCATAGAGCATTGGTAAAGTAGGAAGTGGTATAAATATAACCCAGCAGTTCCTTTGATTAAAACCAAATTAAGTTTTTGAATTAATCAAAGCAAAGTTACTCTATACTGAAGAAGTGACTAACAATAAATGGAATTATAAAAATTATCAAAAATGGGCATCTGGGGGGTCTGCTCGTTAGCTCAGCTCTTTAAGTGGCTGCTTCAACAAAGCAGTCAGGCTCAGGTTGCTGTGGTTCGATCCCCAGAACTCAAAGCAGCCAAACCTGCCCTGAAGGCATTTGGAGAAAAAAAAAAGGGGGGGGGGGCATCTGAGATGATTGCACAATTCTCAAAGGAAGAAATACAAGTGGCAAATAAATACATGAAAAATTTTCCACAGCACTGGCCATGCGAGAAATGCAAATTAAAACAACATTGAGATACCACCTCACCAAAGAAAGAATGACTATCATAATGAAATCAACTAATCACAAATGCTGGAGAGGCTGTGGAGAAAAAGAAACCCTTCTCCACTGTTCGTGGGAATGTAGACTGGTACAACCACTATGGAAATTAGTGGGGAGATTCCTCAAAACCTAGGACTGGAAATTCCATTCAATTGAGCTAGTTCCCTTCTGAGTATTTTCCCAAAAGAACTGAAAACTTCATACCACAGTGAGATATATGCACCCTTATTTATCTCAGCACAGTTTGTCATAGCCAAATCTTGGAAACGACCAAAATGCCCATTACTCGAGGAATGGATGAAAAAGATGTGCTATTTTTATGAAATGGAGTGCTACTCAGCTATAAAGAAAGACAAACTCTAAGCCTTTATAGGTAAGTAAATACAGCATAGTGAAAAAATTCAAGCTCACATGTGTAAATATCATATTGTCTCCCTAGTGTAGGAACCTGAAAGAACAAATAAAACCTGAAAGTTATAATAGATATAGTCAAATGGAAAGAAAACAAATGTAAGGATTAAACAATTAAGAAGAGAGAAAGGAGAAAGGATAGGAAAAAAGGAAGGAGGGAAACATGCAAGTATGTATGCAGGATGGCTGAGATGATTGTACTAATAATTTCCATCAGTTTTTCTGAAAATAGTGCTTAATGTTTAGAATTTTCACCTTGACTGACTCTGTATTCTTGTATCTGTGGTCTGAGCAACCACATCTAGGGCAGCGATGTGCAATGCAAAACCCGTGGTTGGATACCTCTCATCTTGGTCTTCTAACTGTGTACCACTTCTAATGTCTTATCAATTATTATACTCTCTTCAAGATAAATTTTTAAAAATATAAGGAAAAAACTAAGTTTTGTCAAAAGCAAACATTAATATTCAGTTATTTGTCCAATCTTGCACAACTATGTATTAATCTGAACAACAGATTTGATGATAAAAACATAATATAACAACCACTGTTGTTTTTTTTGTTGTTTGTTTGTTTGTTTGTTTGTTTGTTTGCAGAACCGGGGATTGAACTCAGACCCTTGCGCTTGCCAGGCAAGCACTTATTCTACTGAGCCATCTCCCGGGCCCCAACAACCACTGTTAGTTAACTATTACTGTTTTGAAAATCTTAACATATGAATTGTTGTTACCCTGCTTCTGTCTTCTTTTCTATTTGTTTTTGCTTCTGTTTTTACTCTTCAAAATGAAATAAAATTGAAATTAAAATAATGCACCAAAGTCCTACCGAGTCAGTTTGGGATGCTGCGTTGCTTTACAAATCACTGTGCTTCTGAAAATACTACTATATCTAGTAGAGATACAAATACCAAAAATCCCCAAGATGATTCTAAAGACCACATTTTAAATTTTGATGAAATTAGTATCCTTTGGATGTTCATATGCTGAGAGAGCTACAGCTACATCTTTATTATCAATTGTATCTTTATTATGAGTTGACTCTATGGCTGTAAAAGTTTACAGGGCACACAATGCTATCATGACTTATGAATGCAGGGTTCAGTGTGTTTAACTGAAACCAAAACCAAACAAACCAAAAACAAACCAAAGCTAAACATTCATTTTGCTGACATCTAAAGGCTGGAAGCATAATGTCATGATTAAATGTACAAGAAATTGACTGATAATAGTGTTGTCCTAAATGCTAGTGGAGACCTAATTGTGCTAATATTTAATAAAATTGAGATCAATTGTTTTTAGTATTCTAGCTGCAAATTTGAATATTTTATTTATTTATTTATTTATTTATTTATTTATTTGTTTGGTACAGGATCTCCCTAAACAGCTCAAACTCATAGTGATCCTCCTGTCTCAGCCTCTCCATCACTGAGATTACAGACCTGCACCACCACACCCAGTTTTGGTGGCCCCCACGGGTTACCCAGGGTTCTGGGGCCTGCGAGGCATGTGGCCCTGGGGATTGAACCTGGGTCCTTGTGCTTGCCAGGCAGCCACTTACACTGCCAAGGTATCTCCCTGTCCCAAATTTGAATCTTTTGAGTGGTTTACTTCTAAAATATTTTCTACTTCATATGGCTTTTTATTTTTTTTTCCCATACTTAGTTTTGTCTAAAGGAGCACTGTGAAAAATTATATAAAAAATACTTTTGGTGGCAATGTTAAAACTGATTAGGGTTTATTTGTGCTCTTCAAGTGTACTTGGTTACCTTCTTAAGGAAATTATGAAAATCTTGGTTCTTCAACATGTTTCTTTTATGACTTTTTCTATCATTCAATCTACATGCATTTTAGAAAAGCTTTAATTTTTGTTTATCATTGGCTTGCTTTCTAGTCTGCATTGTCAAGAGTTTAATTTTCATGTTTATTGAGTTACTTTTGTAGCGTAGTCATGGAGAAATAAAAGTGAGCTTAATTAGTCACCCATTTCTAATTTCTTTTTATAAGCATCCTTATATTTTTTTCATACGGTTTTAATATTTAGTTTCCATATAGAACAACATTGGATTTTGTAAATTCCAATCTAAGAATACTTTCTAAGTCTGAAAATCTGCTATTAAAATTATTGATAACAAATTCATAAATTTATTTCTGATTATAGACATAGTATCATGAAAAGTATTTACTTCAGTTCTTTCCTGTTCATTACATTTTTTGAGACAAGGTTTTGCCATATAGAGAGGGCTGGCCTTGAACTCATGTTTGTACTTGTGGCAAGCCTCCTACCTCAGCCTCCTGAGTGCTAAGAACACAGGAAGTTCAATCTCTGGTGCTACATCTGTGCCAGCCCCACCCCCGGCGCAGGCTGAGCCAGCCACAGAGTCTGGGCGTAGTACCATACACCTGTAATCCCAGAGCTGGAGGATCAGCACCAGTGATTCCCTGTAACAACCAAATACATTTTTAAAAGTTAAAATAAAGAGGAAATTATTAAGAACAAAGCAGAAGGGCTGGGGAGATGGCTCAGTAGAATAAGTGCTTGCTTGCCAAGCACAAGGGCCTGAGTTCAATCCCTGGTTCCATCAAAAAACAAAAACAAAAATTAAAAAAAAAACAAAAAACAAAGAGCAAAGCAGAAGTTAATGCAATGAAAACTAAGAAAACAATACAAAAAAATCAATCACAGATTTTGTTCTTTGAAAGATTAAATAAAATCAACAAACCCCTAACTACTCTTATCACAAAAAGGAAAAAATACTCAAATCCATGAAATTAGAAACAAAAAGGAAGTCTGAACTGTGTAGCAAGACCCTATATCAAACAAATAAATAAATAAATATTTTTAAAAGAAATGCAAATTTAAAAAAAAAAAAAACACTGAGATTCTATCCCATCTCAGGAAGGAATGGCTACTATCAAGAAATCAACCAAAACAAATGCTGGAGGGCCTATAAGGATAAAAGAACTCTTCCCCTTTTGTTGCATGTTGTCTTAGTTACTCTTCTCTCGTTGCTGGGACAAATACCCGACACTCAAAATGAAGGAAGGAAAGGTTTATGTAGCTCACAGTTACTGGAGGTTTCAGTCCATACTCAGCTGGGTCCAAGGCAAAGCAGCACAGAGCAGAAAGCAACCTTTCATGGTGGAGGCAAAGAGCAAGAGCGCAAGGGAGGGGTAGCAGCAGCTCAAGCAGCCAGCTTCTCTTCCCTCCTTACACTGTAAAGCAAAGCACCTGCCCCAGGGCAGGTGCAGCATCCACACCCACAGTAATCAATCACAAACTCCAGAAGCTGCCCCAAGACTGCATGAGGCTTTGGGGGGACACCTAGACACAAACCATAACACATGTAGACTGGTGCAACCACTGTGGAAATCAGGGTGGAGAGTGCTCAAAATATAGGACTATGGATTCCTTTGAACCTAGCTATTCCTTTTCTTGGTATCTTCCCAAAGGAATCTAAGCATTTTACTGCAAAGAAATATACACACCCATGTTTATAGTGGCACAGTTTATAATAGCTCCATCTTAGAAACAGCCCAGATGACCATCAGCTGATGAACGGATAAGGAAGATGTGTTTCTTTTATACACTGGAGTACTACTCTGCCAGGAGG